TTCTACCTCTGCTGCTCCGCAAATGCAGAGACGCTCATTGTAAGGTATAGAATGGAATCTCCCATATCTGACCATTGTGTCAAGCTGTTCGAATCTCGCTCGCGTAAATACCTCCCTAAGGTGTTTTGGCAGTTGTAACTTCAAATAGCTGTCTACTTGAAAAGTATGCTTGTATTTACTCAGCCATTTCAAGTTACCCTTACATCAAGAAACTGCTGTGTAGATTCTTTTAAATTTAAAGACAACTTTTTAATTAGTAAATATTTGGAATTAGGCATATTTAAACCCATTATTTTCAATTGATATAGGCATTTCTAATGCTATAATTACAGAATTATAGTGCAATCCTAAACTTATTTGCTAAGATACAAGAGCCAATAAGTTGCATAACTTCAGGTAATTACTGTAGATTCAGGCTTGCTGCTTTGGTTTATTTTTTATTTTTTTAAGGGTTAAGGATTAAATAAACAAAACACCCTTCCTTCTAGGGCTGTAATTAAGAAACAAAGAATCTATTTGTAGAGGCATACAAGATGGGAAGACAAATTTTGTCTTCACCTTATCCATGTCTTCAACTTCAGTTCTTTTTATTTTCTTTCACAGAATTCCAATAGACTGATTTGACTACAGCACAGCATTCTCTAGTCTGGTGTTTTTGATTCCAAGACAGCATGACTGATATGCTACATTTGGAAGGAACTAAATGTGCAGACCAACCCATCTTAAGGGTACCAGTGGGAGAAAAGCTGCTTTAAAATAAGAACATTTCAATAAAACCTCAATTTCTTGGAAAAAGTTTTGTGCTTCCACATTAGTGTTTTCGCTGCTATATTCTGTCTTCCCATGGAGTTAGTCAGCAGAAAAATGGCTGTCAGCCAGTACAGTATCCTGCCTACTCTTGTTCTTCCTTTGCTGCAAAGGAAAAATGAAAATCAATGCTTGGAGTGGTTGCAGGGCAGGTTGGCAAGTTGCCTTCAAAGGAATTGATGAGAAGATGTAATGGCAAGGTGTCCAACTTCCTTGGCTATAGTTCCTCCACTGGGAACCTGCCTATAACATAACCTTAAAGGAAATGCTATAAAAGTATATCCCAGGGGTAGTCAACCTTGGCTCTTTTATGTGCTGGCTCAGGAATTCTGGGAGTTGAAGTCCACGAGTCATAAAAGAGCCAAGGTTGACTACCCCTGGGATATCCTATGAAAGCAGAAGCTAGATTGAGTTAACTGCTTTAGCTTCCCCAAGTTCTATGGCATCACTGGATGCATGAAAGGAGATTAAATAACAAAAAGCATTTTGGGTAGCACTAATAGTAGTTTTGTGCTATTAAATGCATATTGCAAACATGTAGTTTATCTTCCTTATCAGATGCCCCCAAAACAATCTGTTGAGAACATATTCCCAGAAAACTGGACTGTTTATAAACACATTTCAGTCTTGCTTCAGAAAATAAGGGGATGCCAAAAGTCCAATACTTCACTTTTTACAGTTATTTACTAATACATTG